CTTTACCACCACCACCTCTATGACCATTAGTAGCCGCCTCCTAGTTCCTCCACTTCTTCTCTACTCCCGTACTCATGAACGTCATATATATCGGCGATACAAGATATCGATAATAAGAGAATTCGATTGGGATTATGAAATGTTTCTGACGATTGAAATTAGTAGCGAATCAACTATAATATTTTCGCAATAATCTCTTATATACTTTAATACAAATATCACCAGTAGCTATAAACGATCTCTATCACGAAAATGTAAATAAGTAAGAGACATTGCGTATTGAGTGCTTCATTAATATCTCGTTAACGTTCGAAACACTCTTTTCGAGTACACTTACGATATTCCCTTAAATCTATCAAGAGTACACTACTATCGATTAAACCATAGAGCCAAACGTTAACGTACTCGATTACTCCGTTACGTGATGATGGTTAACAGTATCAAAAGCATCGTGCTTCGAACGATCTAACGGCTGTTATGACAACCGATATTATATATTCTAAGCGAAATCGATCGGCCTAGTCTTTCTTCTCTATTGCGTTTGAATTATTAATCGAATAATGTAATCTTTATCAATAATAATTCCTTGTGAACCGTAGAAGCTTTTTAAACATTTACAAATATTATGCAATGAGTTAAAATCTAAATACGGATTTAATATATCATTTGAAATGATAACATTTAACTCGCAAAAGAAAGACGATAAGAAAAAGAGAGAGAGAGACAGAGAATAATGAGATTCAATGACGAGACGATTGAAGAAAGGTTTTAAGCAAAGTAACGTAGATATTTACTACATTGACTGAATGAGAGAGATAGAGATAGATAGAAAGATAAAGAGAAAAATGCAAAATCAATGATGATACACCGTTCGTACCTATCTATATCTCTGAAAATAGCTTTCCAAGAGATACGCCAAGATTTTTACCAAAGTGCCTTCAAAGGAACGTTTCTAGGTAATATACCGATTGTTATTCCTTGGAAACAGGTCCATTCAATTCTTTCCAGTGCCAGATTTTACATCTACTTTCCTTTCTGTAGTAACAAGCAACATACTCCTTTACATGTATATATGTGTATATATATAGAGAAAGAAAAAGAAAGAAATAAAGAGCACTGTCTTAATATAATAAATGATTTTTTTCAATGAAAATGTCACATCATTATACGACTTTGAGTACAGAAAACTTTTATACGATATATGGACAAATATTTACTTACGTATATACCGAGCGAATCAATAATTATTACCACCTCAAATAACTCCATTATAGCAAAATCTATATGGAAAAAATTTATAAAACCAAAAATAAATGAAATATAAAAAATAAAAAAAGAGTTATTTGATATATATATATATATATATATATATATATATATAATTATATATATTAAATTAAAATAAATATATATACTTCGTTACATACGAATGCTTGCTCGCTCTGAATTATTTTAATACAGTGAATATTATTTTCTACTCATTGCGAATGAGCGAGAGAGAGAGAGAGAGAGAGAGAAAATTCAACGTTACGGAATCAACTAGATATAATTAATTTCAAGTCTTACGTCAAATAGAGTGTTTCTCTCGATTCCCATTTCGAAGTAGCTGCTAGAGGTATTACGCATTCCATTTGCTCGATAAATTATTAAAAAGCACCATTCTGATGCAACAAGACGCAATAGTAAAAATAAAAAGCAATCGAGCAAAAAGTCGAAAAGAAGAAAAAGATGGAAGTGAAAGAAGAAATAGAAAAAGAAAACATTGGAAGAAAAGCGACATCCACGAAGAGTATTATAATCGATGATTTATAATAATAAAACGTTCTTATATTTCTTACAGTAACTTGAGAACCAACATACCGTTGCGTCACGTTGTTTTCAATACCGTTACGTAAACTATCTCTTCCTTCTTACAATCAGAAATCAAAATATTTTTGTGGAAAAATATGCTGCGTATCAGAAAATCCTCGTTAAAATTAGATACGCTATCATCATTGGCCAGGATTTAGTATTCAAGAACGTTACAAATTTTTTATTGGATCCATTAGAATAAATCAGTTCTACAGAATATTTAACGTATATTTTCTTGCTTTGACCGTTCATGCAAATGACAAAGCAAGAAATACATCGTCTAAATTCGATTATACAATTGCAAATGTAGAAACAAAAATTATATACCGATCAACAGATATTAAATTAAATTTATTATACAATATTACTTTTTATATTGTCATGTGAGCTCATATCTTACGGGGCCCAAAGCGACCGCTTTCACTTCATCTGTACATAAATCCATAAATAATGACTACCTACCACTTATTAAAAGAAAGAAAAAAAATAAATAAAATAAAATAAAATAAAGTAAAATAAAATGAAAAAGACCCAATTTACTCGCATCCGAAACGCCCAAAATTGTTTTCATGGTTCTTCCTACTTCAGATCAAACATTCTCGAGTCCTTGAAATTCAAGAAAATAACTGGTTAACAAGTGACAAGAGGCTAATTTAGATTGTTAAAACGCGATCGTGACCATAGGAATTATCCTATACTATATACGTCCCAAAGCACATCGCGTGAGCAGTCATCTTCTTGAACGAGTTTCGTATGGCAGTAACCCCTCTTGCTTCGTAGAATAATTCTTTGAAGTCGGCTTCTCCTAACAAACGATCCCATCCTTCCAAGAGAGAATCGTATCACTAAATCGTTCTCGGAGTGTTTCTAATATATTAGCGATGCATTTGTTCTCTCACTAAATTGGTTCACTCTCTTTAAAAAGAATATTATTCTTCGAAGACGAGTTATAATTGATCTCTGCATGTTTCAATGTAACAGGACAATACATACATATATACACGTAACTCGTCTTATATGTATGTTGTAAGAAAATATGCAATCCAATTAAACGAGACAAAATCAATTAAAAGAAAGAACTTATTTAACATTGATTATTATTATTATTATTATTGTTGTTGTTGTTATTGTTGTGGTTATTATTATAATAGTTGGTCTCAAAAGGAAGGGTACCCCTTGTACCTCATTAGTATCTCATTAGTAATGGACGAACGGTTCGTGCTACGTCGACGGGAAGCGCTTTGTCGTACGAAACTGGCCGACATCAATGAAAATCGCTGGATCCCGGGACCTTGGAAGTTGTAACCCAAAATCACTTAGGATATAGAAACTTTCCCTCTAGGTTAATCCGCTATTTCGAATCTCAGGGTTCATCTGGATACCAGAACGACGAAACTACAAGCTCCTGACCACGAATAATTCAACGACTTTTTCGTACAACGTCATTTCTCTCTCTCTCTCTCTCTCTCTCTCTCTCTCTCTCTCTCTCTCTCTCTCTCTCTCTCTCTCGCTCATTCGTTCGCTTGCTTTATCTTTATCTCTCTCGAACGTTTATTTCAAATATCTATAATGAATCTTGAAATACTCCAGCGTATTAAATATAACAATTTTGTGACGATAAAAAGACGTTTTTCTTGTGGAAAAATTTTCGTATCTGCCTATTAAGAGACCAACGTGTTCTCTTTTTCCTCTCTCTCTCTCTCTCTCTCTCTTTCTCTCTTTCTCTCGCTCTTTCTTCTTTTAAACAAATAATAAAGTAATCAAAATTCAGCAGCAGAAGTTCGTGCCACTCTGAATCTTAAAGAAGTTTAGTCGATCCTTAGGAAAGTACAAGTTTCATGAGCTACGGACTGACGTCAACCGACATTCTATACAGAATACATAATAATTATAATTTTTTCGTCAACGCATACGCAAAAGCGTCGTGAAATAAAAAGAAAAGAAAAAAAAGAGGAGAAAAGAAAAAGCAAGAAAACAAAAGAAAAAGAAAAAGAACAAAAAAAAAGAAATGTCGAAAAGTAGTACTACTAATTTTCCTGCAATCTAATTCCCTGGCGTACCTCAAAAATCCTGATACAAACGTAGTCGCGTGGTTCACATCATTATATACGCAAGAGAGAAGTTTATTATTAAATTATTACTCGTGCACTCGAACATTTTCGATGTAAACATTTTCGCGTCGCTAATTAACATCGAAACGATGAGAATTTCGCGCACCCGAGGATCGGTCAGTGACGCTTCAATTATCTCAACCTGACCAACAGTGTTCGTGGTTTTATACAAGGCGTATGTATACATATACTTGCGGTTAAAAGCTAATGACTCGATGATAATAAAGACTAACGAAGTGGAAATATTACTTTCTTTTTTTTTTATTGTTTTATTTTTATTTTCTTTTTTTTTTAATTCTTTTTTTATCTCTAGACAACTCGCGTCAGTTAGCGAAGCGCAAAATTTTTAGTCACGTTCATCGTGTCAACCGTCAAACGAACCAATCACGTTGCTTGTTTTCGCGCCAATGAGATTCTCCTACCCATCCCCTCCACCCAACACTCACACCAATACATACACAGACACCTTTTTTTACTTAACCACTTCGTAATATCATCAAATACTTATAATAGTTTCGAGAACTTAATCGACAACCCTCGAAATTTTCGTACGCGTGCAAGCTCGATCGAAATCAATATCCATAATAGAACATATCGAGAAAGCATTGTTGTGAATGCATATGTTTTGACATATCGATTTTATTTGAATATAACCAAGCGCGAATCATTAAGCTTCGGTGAGATAATGCGATGTATTATAACGCGTTCTAATGCGCCTTAACGAGGCCAGACGTTTGTAACAGCAGGTTCCCCGTTCATTATCCAAACAGGAAGCAAGCCACGATTTATTGCTACATGACAACGTTTCCCGAACCATGGGCCTCTTAATAATTACAAAAGGTTGTATTATCATAAGAAAGGGTTGTCACATTGATAAATCGAACGTTCCATTTCTTTCCGCGGAATCGTAGTAGTACTTTTCGTAACTATTTATTAATATTCTCGTATTGTGTAATTATAAATACGTTTCAGCTCTTTTACAAACTCACTATTACTTATGATAGATCAAATTATAATTAGAAAGATAATGGCACTTACCTAATATCGATTATGAAATCCTATCCAATTATATTGACTGATTAAAATGTTCTGACACAAGAACGAATCCATTCCTCGATCTTGAAACGTCGCAGTATAGACCTACGGTGGCACGAATCACTCACTTGAGAATCTCTCGGCGAAACCGTTCGTTTAAGAAAGGAACTTCCGAAAATATTTTCGCGAATCACTCGCCGATTCGATCGATACTTCACGACGTGAGTCACGAATACACGGTTTATCGAATCCTTCGTGGATCATACGAAGAACGAGAATATATCTGGAAGGAAATAAAAAAAGAAAAAAAAAAAAACAAAAGAAAGAAACGAAAACTGAGAAAACACGTTAGATTCGTGTCCCGACCGCGAGACACGCACTCGCGACACTTCTTCACCGCATAGCTCTTCGCGAACCGTACAAATGGCGGTTTCTCGATTTACAACTTGTTGAAAACTCGAGGCGATCGATTTCTCCAGGCCGCGTGTCGTTCGTTTCTTGTACCGACGGATTCCCGCCTCCTCGAACGATACGAACTCGCTCGTACGTTACGTCGGTGTCCATAACAATTATTATTTCTCTCCTTTTTTCGCTCTACTATCCTCTTTATCTTTGCCTTTTCTTCACAAGCTATTCCTTCCACCGTGGCTACCCCCTCGTTCGACCGTTATGATCGACTGTTAAGTACATTATTCACCGAAAACCGTCATCCCTGATGGGAAGGCAACTGCAGGATTAAGAAAGACGTGACTGGTCCCAAAGACGTCACCGCCTAATCGCTACCACTTCGCGACCTCTCAAGGATCCACCCGACAAGCTAACGAATCCTTCGACGATCCCTTTTGAACGAGGACGAAGATCTATACGTATGTTACACAAGAAAGTGAGATTAGAAAAATAAGATAGGAAGCTAGTGAAAAATACATGAGATTTTCTTTTAAAATTTTTTTTTCAATGCGACACTATCTTCTATTAATTTTTTCAAATCGAATAGAAGCATCGATTCCTGATACTTTTATAGAATTTGCACTATTCAACGGTAATCTATTTTTTTTTTTTTATTTTTTATTCCCTTATCTTCGTCTTTGTATCTCTATTCATTCGTATTCATTCGGATGCAAATTTTCGCAGCACGAAAAACCATACACTCCCAGCGCGGCGACTGTACGGTGCATACTGAACGATATGTTCCGCGAGACACGAGGCGCGCGCCGCTACCCCGGCGAATATGCCCGAATGCACACGAATATTACCGATCCCGCACGAGCCGTACGCTAGCCAGTCCAACGGTGGTGCGTATATAAGAGAGGAGGGAGAATGAGAGCGCGAGAGGGAGGGAACAAGTCGTCGTACGGGTGTCGTTGAGAGAGAAGAAACTTGTAGAGCAACGAAGATAGCTCAAGTATTCCAGGACAAAAGAGAGAGAGAAAGACCGTTATATATATCTTACAAGAAAAAGAGACAGAACGTTCCCCTACCACTCGTTCGTGCGCCACGCGACGCGTCTTCCTCCTCTTGTTGCAAGAACGGTAAGCCCCTAACCTTCAACTTGCCACGCTCTCTATCGAGGCATAACAATCTCGGAATAATGAAACCTGTTTGATCTATTGACCGACACCGAACTACTCGACCACTTCTCTACTTACATCCCTCTTCCAAACGATTTTGAGTTCCGAAATCTTCGTGAAACGTACAATTTTAGAAGGTCCGTAAGACAGTGTTCCTGATAATTGGAACAGTGTGTGCACTTCGTTCAGAGTAACGCCGACCAATTTCCTCCTACGAAATTAAAGCTGCCACTGGAATAGAACTGGATAAGTATTATCGAGGTAACTAACTAATCGAATAAAAAGTTAAATCATTTTTATCTTTTGATATAAATTTTAAAATAACTTTTTAAATTAACGATGAGAATATTCACAGGAAAATAAAGAAACATAAAATTCTTAAGAAATTTAAATGTCTTATATGCTGCGAACTTTAGATTACAAAGAGATTGATACTAAAGGGCCACAAGCTCATCAACGAGGTGCGTTTCGTAAGAAGCTAACCATAGAACAATCTTCGTGGTGAATATATGTACGAACCAATAACATCCCACTCGTTTCCTAAGAACATTATGCATACGTACACCCACTCTCTCCCTCTCCCTCCCCCCCCTCTCTCTCTCTCTCTCTCTCTCTCTCTCTCTCTCTCTCTCTCTCTCTCTCTCTCTCTCTCTCTCTCTCTCTCTCTCTCTCTCTCTCTCTCTCTATTATACACGCGTACTGATTATAGCTGGAAGGCAAAGTGGCATGTACGGCAGCCACGATAAGTTATTCTCCAGAACGATTCGATTAATTCAGTAGTAGCGATGGTAGAAGCTCGCCAGGGTGTACATATTCTCCGAAGAGAAATTCCGCGCTACCGCCTGCTGCTTGGTCTCTCTCTCTTTCTCCCTCTCTTCCTCTTTCTCTCTCTTTCTATTTCTCCATCTCTCTCTCTTGCTCACTCTCTGCGTGCCCGCAAGAGTTACACATGAATTCTATCGTTGCGTTAATACGCGAATGTCTCTCGACCGCCGCGAAGACTTCCTTGTCGTGGTCTTATGAAAATGCATTGTATTCCACCGTTAGTTGCATACCAAGGATAAAGAGAGACAGAGAGAAAGAAAGTGCCATTGTAACTACTCCGATGTTTCGTAGACATTTATACGTGTGTGTATGTATGTACAATCGACGAGACTGGAATTCTGTTTTCTGTTGGATGAAACATCGATATAAAAAAAGAAGTAAGATCAAAGTGGAAAAGTATAAAATGATAATAATAGATGAAACTTTTGTATACAAAGATTAATGGTAATAAAAAACGGATCGTCAGGAATAAATTGAGAAATATTTTGCTTAAATTGACATCAAATCAAACGGAATCCTGTTATTCATCGATCCCCACTACACAGAGTTAATTATCGCGAAACTTGGATAACGTCGGTGGAAGATAGCTCTCTCGCTTATTTACCTACACGCTTGCTGCCTGATAAACATGCATTGCATTGTTTGCTCTGATTTATACGCAAAGGATCCCCTTATCCTATAATCATATCGTACGCCGCGTAGCGAAAGTCCGTTTATTTGCTTCTCCTGCTGTCGGGTGGCCAATTATTCAAATACAATTGAATAAATGCATAAATAATAAGACGATCCACGTCAGACTACGAAGCGAGGGCACGAGCACGTAGACGAACACAGTAAGAAGACTTCTTCCTTTTCTTTCTTTTCTTTCTCTCTTGCGAACGACTGGTCATTATTCGTCGAGATTGCAGCGCGGCAGGATCTTCTTGTCAATGGCGACACGAGTCCATGAATCGGTTTGTTTTTCTGACAGAATGAAAGCGAGAGAGATGAACACTAACCTAAAATCAAATCGGAATGCCTGGGATCGAGAGAAGGATAGAAAGACAGAGAAAGGACAGTGAAAGGACAGAGACCACCTAAGGTTCACTGATTTTTATTTCTCTCTCCGGTCCTCAACGATAAATGATTATTGATGTGTCTAATCAAGGAGTTTTGTCTTGCAACGGTAGCGGCTTATGCGTTTTAAATTGGTCCCTTTCTTTCTCACCAACATACTGGTCAGATAATTTATATTTGTTCGTTCTTCCGAACGTGCATCTCAAGCAACATACCTGTGTAATTATGTACACGTAGAGTTTCAAAGGTTTTATTTATTGGTACAAGACACGCAAAGAATTATTAGAAACATTTCGCCGGTATTAATAACGGAATCTAAATTTCGCTAGAGAGAATCCTACTCGTGCGTCAGATTATAGTAAATTAATCCGTCAACGATGGTCCGACAGAAAACGATCGCCGAATCTCAGCAGGCTAGTCAATCGGCTGATTGGTTCAAATACTCTTATACATCTAGATACCACACTGTGTGCTTAAGGCGCTTAAACTAATCCCGAACTATGTAAACACAGAGTATTACGGCTTTCTACATATATCGAGAGCCGATCGGAATCAAAGTGACACGCACTAGTTCCCTACAATTGGCCTAATCGGAAGACGCTCACAGTCAGCCGCCCGATCGAGCCCATCGTTTGTGCGTGTCACGCATGATATCTATATCCTAATCGCCTTTTCAGATTTTTATCCCTACTCGAGTGGCGCCACGAGGAGAAAAAAAACGAAAGAGAAAAAGAGAGAAAGAGAGAGAGAGAAACTATCGAGCCTTTCTTACTTATAAAACTTTCTCACATGACGAGCATCATTTTACCACTTTATCAAGAGCTTCTCGATGCAACCAATCCGTCTTCCGTCTTTTCGTTGATCCTGCGAAAATTTTCTTAAAGCGCAAGCGACGCGCAACCATGATTTTCCATCGTCAAATCGATCGCTAATATCCGATCCATTATCGTCGTCGGTAGATACCATTTGAAATTCGTATGAGACATATACGGGGTGTCCCGATAATCCTAACAAAATTAGAATCCTGACAAAATTAGAGCCATCTATTTATCTTATAAATAATTCATTTTACAAAGATATATAAGACATAATTAATTAATTCTTAGATAGATAATTAATTTTCCCGAAAATCAGTGTCGAGTAATATCACTTTATCACACATTTCCGACAAATAATTTCGAAGCACTCTGTATTTCGTACCATATCTTCTAAGCGTTTATATGAAAATTATTACGTTCATCTTGGCAAACGTCAAAGATTTAAGACGGATCAGGCTAGGTAAAATATTCGTCGCGTTGTATCGACGTCAAGATCGAGAGACAAGCGCCGATGAATTTTACGGGGAATCATATACGAGAGAGCAGGTCGATTTGCAAAGGCGAGACGCACCGTACGGATGGATACGATGCATATAAATTCGTGATTCATGAGAGCTTACGTTTACGACATGAAAGAATGAAAAGGAAGATTCAACATTGCTCCGAATATCAAGAAAAAAAGAAAAAAAGAATGAAAGAAGAGAGAGGGAGTGAGTGATAGATATCAGGTGTGTATCAACACATGGACCAACGTTGGTCGAAGTCAAGGGAAGCAGACGGTGACTGGTATCGTTTGAAGCCGTTGATATAACGCACCTATACCACAAAATACGGGCTCAGCTGAAGCTACTATCGTTAAACAGTCTTCGAGAGTATCGTCGGTGCAAATATCAGCTCTCGGCACCGGCTTGAGATTCCGTTTCATCGACATAGGTTTCCTTCGACTCTGGATGAAAGGAAATACGAGGGTGACTGTTATTGGACGACCTCTCTCTTTCTCTCTCTCCCTTTTCCTCTTCTCTTCACTCTCTGTTTCTCTCACTCTCACTCTCTGTCTCTCTCTCTCTTTCTCTCTCTTTCTCTCTTTCTGTCTCTCTCTGTCTTTCTCGCTGTCTTCATTCCCATTTTCCAAGCCCGCCTCTCCGTTTGTCCTTCCTCTTCCTCATTCGCCGACTCCTGATTCCTCGACGGTCTCCCTCTCTCTCTCTCTCTTCATTTCCATCATTTGTTCCATCTCTCTCATTCTTGTACGCTTTCTCTCTCTCTCTTTCTCTCTCTCTCTCTCTCTCTCTCTCTCTCTCTCTCTCTCTCTCTTTCTCTTTCTCGCATGAACGCGCGCGCTCAGCAGAAGCAGACTCGCTTTCACAGGCAAGTCGGTCGGTCTCTCCCTCGTCGGAATTGGTGGCGCAGTCACTGTTTCACTCGAGGGATTAAGTGTATATCAGATGATACGAGATTCCGTAGAATTGAATGTGCCAGCGGCGGTGGTAGAGCGACGTCGATATACCCGGGGATTATTCTGTTATTTTATCGTGAAGCTGGGATCGAACGTGAATCGAGGGGTTACAACGAGGAGGAAGAGGAGTAGAATAGAGAAGGAAGGTGGAAGAGAAAGAGGTAGAGATAGGTGTGTAGAGACGAGGAGAATCGAAAAGGTGGGCGTGCATATTTACCGACGAATTTTCGTTCGCTAGAGTTATCCCTACCGATACCCTTGCAAACCCATACGCCATACGTTTATGTGTGTATGCGTGACAATAAAGAGGTCTCGATAGGTATATGCTTGACTTATGAGCAAACGAGTCCTACCACCGTGTTAGTGTAGCTCCCTTCGTATCCTTGATCTGAGTGCAGCGTCATCGACACTTCCGACCCTCTCCGTACTGAACGCTGGTG